TCAAGCTTTGACTGTCTGCGGGGGGGGGGGGGGGGGGGGGGAAGATAAATGTTACTCTAGTCTGATTTAAAAAAATGTATGTTGTGTCCCACATCAAACAGATCGCATGGTCACATGCCTGAGACTGATGGCTATAATGTCTGTCTCATAATCTTCTAGGTTAGTGCCGTACGCAAATAAGACTGACGGTTATAATGTCTGTCTCATAATCTTCTAGGTTAGTGCCGTACGCAAATAAGACTGACGGCTATAATGTCTATCTCATAATCTTCTAGGTTAGGGCCGTACGCAAATAAGACTGACGGCTATAATGTCTATCTCATAATCTTCTAGGTTAGGGCCGTACGCAAATAAGACTGACGGCTATAATGTCTGTCTCATAATCTTCTAGGTTAGTGCCGTACGCAAATAAGACTGACGGCTATAATGTCTGTCTCATAATCTTCTAGGTTAGGGCCGTACGCAAATAAGACTGACGGCTATAATGTCTATCTCATAATCTTCTAGGTTAGGGCCGTACGCAAATAAGACTGACGGCTATAATGTCTGTCTCATAATCTTCTAGGTTAGTGCCGTACGCAAATAAGACTGACGGCTATAATGTCTGTCTCATAATCTTCTAGGTTAGGGCCGTACGCAAATAAGACTGACGGCTATAATGTCTGTCTCATAATCTTCTAGGTTAGTGCCGTACGCAAATAAGACTGACGGCTATAATGTCTGTCTCATAATCTTCTAGGTTAGGGCCGTACGCAAATAAGACTGACGGCTATAATGTCTATCTCATAATCTTCTAGGTTAGGGCCGTACGCAAATAAGACTGACGGCTATAATGTCTGTCTCATAATCTTCTAGGTTAGTGCCGTACGCAAATAAGACTGACGGCTATAATGTCTGTCTCATAATCTTCTAGGTTAGTGCCGTACGCAAATAAGACTGACGGCTATAATGTCTGTCTCATAATCTTCTAGGTTAGTGCCGTACGCAAATAAGACTGACGGCTATAATGTCTATCTCATAATCTTCTAGGTTAGTGCCGTACGCAAATAAGACTGACGGCTATAATGTCTGTCTCATAATCTTCTAGGTTAGTGCCGTACGCAAATAAGACTGACGGTTATAATGTCTGTCTCATAATCTTCTAGGTTAGTGCCGTACGCAAATAAGACTGACGGCTATAATGTCTATCTCATAATCTTCTAGGTTAGTGCCGTACGCAAATAAGACTGACGGTTATAATGTCTGTCTCATAATCTTCTAGGTTAGTGCCGTACGCAAATAAGACTGACGGCTATAATGTCTATCTCATAATCTTCTAGGTTAGTGCCGTACGCAAATAAGACTGACGGTTATAATGTCTGTCTCATAATCTTCTAGGTTAGTGCCGTACGCAAATAAGACTGACGGCTATAATGTCTATCTCATAATCTTCTAGGTTAGTGCCGTACGCAAATAAGACTGACGGTTATAATGTCTGTCTCATAATCTTCTAGGTTAGTGCCGTACGCAAATAAGACTGACGGCTATAATGTCTATCTCATAATCTTCTAGGTTAGTGCCGTACGCAAATAAGACTGACGGCTATAATGTCTGTCTCATAATCTTCTAGGTTAGTGCCGTACGCTAATAAGACTGACGGCTATAATGTCTATCTCATAATCTTCTAGGTTAGTGCCGTACGCAAATAAGACTGACGGCTATAATGTCTGTCTCATAATCTTCTAGGTTAGTGCCGTACGCAAATGAGACTGACGGCTATGTTTGCCTCTACCGTTTCAGGCTTGTCTCATGCACTAAACAAAGCCTGTATGATTGCCTGATGAAGACTCTCAAACAACGAGAAGGGAAGGAGGCGGAACTGGCTGCTGGTTGTCTGAGGTTGATGGCTGACCAGCTGAGAGACAAGGGTTCGAGTCTATTTAAACAGATTTACCCCGACCTCTCCACCATGTTGACAGGCAGCTCCACCCACTACAAGACTCGCGCGGCCTGTGCCACAACACTTGCCACCTGGTGCTACCTGTGTTCCACTGACCTGCAGGTATGCCATTCTTCTTTTTACTCACGTGTACTTTAACCCTGTGTTTTGCATGAATACTGTTCTATTTTGAAAAATTAAGTTCCCACTGAAACAACGCAAAGATTTTTTAATACACATGTTCCTGACAATTCTGCTGATTTACTCACATAAAAATTATTTTACCACTCATGAAAAAAAAAGAAATAATTTTTAGTTTCAATACACATTGCAGGACTCTAATATAAAAGAAAATATTTTCTTCAATAAATACAAAAATCTAGTTTCTTCTGGAAGTTTCCTGGAATAAATTTAGTTGTTGGGGAACAGTTGTACAGGAGTTGTGATTACGGAATATAAAAGTTTTACAAGTTGTTTTTTTTCTTCAGCCCAGTGGCGTTGCGAGGTCGGGTGTCACCCGGTGCGGCACTTAATGGTGTCACCCCCCTAGAGGCGTAGCGACCTTTCCCGGCGCCCGGGGACAAACTTTCAACTTTCGATTTGCACTCCCCCCTCAAACTTTCGATTTGCACCCCCCCCCCCCCTTCACCTTGTCGGGGGTTTGTCAAATTTATTCTTAAAAGACTTTTTAACACTTATTTAATAAAAATTATCATTTTTCTCTATATTTTGCTATTTTTTGCCTTGGTGTCACCCCCCTAAATGGTGTCACCCGGTGCGGTCCGCATCCCCCACCCCACCCCCTCGCTACGCCACTGCTTTAGCCACACCTATGTTTTTATTTACCAGCTAAACACCTGACATGTGAAAAAAAACACTCTTAGAGTAGAAACATAAGGAAATGTCTATCGCCTTGCATTTCCCGCCTATTATTTCGGTTGCTATCCTGAGGATCTCGAATTTGGACTCGCAAGTGAAGTACGCCCCTGGCTCTGGCGATAACCTGACCACACTATCCCTTCGTATGCCGAGGTCATTAAAACAGATACACTCTACTTTATCTGCCCCATGTATGTTGGTCATGAATGGGAAAATATGATGAATTTTCCCCCTCTAGAACAATTTAAAACTGGTGTACATTATTGTGTAATTTGCCTTTTTTACAGGTGTCACCCGGTGCGGCACTTAATGGTGTCACCCCCCCCCCCCCCCCCCAAGAGGCGTAGCGACCTTTTCCGGGGGGACAAACTTTCGAATTTTCGATGTGCACCCCCCTCTCTCCTCAAACTTTCGATTTGCAACCCCCCCCCCTCAAGTTTTCGATTTGCAACCCCCCCCCCCCTCAAGTTTTTCTCTATATATTTAGCTATTTTTTGCCTTGGTGTCACCACCCTAAATGGTGTCACCCGGTGCGGTCCCCACCCCCCCCCCCCCCCCCGCTACGCCCCTGAATGGTACTTACTTACATCTGTAGCTGTTTGCTTTAAACTACGACTGAATTGGTATATAATCTTTCATGTGTTGATCACATTTTCTCGCACCACCAGAAATTGAAAAGAGTGAGTAAAATATTGGAAGACATGTTCAGTCGTGGCTATGGGCAGGGAGACAACTCCCCCACTTTAACACCAGAACAGATCTGGGTGATGTGCCACGTCTTGAAGGCTTGGTGTCTTCTGTTGACCAGTTGTACACAAGACGAACTCCAGGCCCACATCTGCAAGTAGGTCCTAAATAATGTTCGTAGTTTAAACTATTCGTTTGTATTGTAGTTTAATAAACATTTTGTAATAACACAATGATCTAAAATACCCATGGCTGAAATTTAAAATTTACAGGGACATTTTTATAGATTTAAAGTACGTGTGAATAAAAAATTGTACGCAAATAATTATTTTTTCAAATTACAAAAAAACAACAACCGAGGACTGTATGAAAATAGATGCTTGAAAGGGAAGAATGTTTGATTTGATGTGTCTCATTGTAATAACATAACTTTTCCGATTGCTTAAAATTTGTATCATTTTAGTTCTCTGTAATCCCATATTTATTTCAGCTCTACTTAAAAACCCAAATTCCACCCCGCCCCCCCCCCCCCTCACCCACCACGCCGAGGGGAAAAAAATCCCTTGAATTACCATTTAATTACACATTTGCATTTTTAGGTTGGTTTTTTTTTTTTTTTTAAATATTTTTTTTTGTCTTTAGACGTTTTGTATTAGATCTATGTATAAGTAAACCATCTTAAATGAATGAAATTAGGCTACAATTAAGAAAGAAATATTACTATTGTAAATCTGTATCAGTCGTCATAAGTAGGTGATGAAAACTGTAATACTAAAGCGAACACACACACAACGGACGCTGTAAATTAAATGTCTGAGGCAAAAAAAATAATTTTGCAAGCGATGAGGAAAATCTTCAAAAACAGCCTTACCATACCTAAAAGAAAAGATAATGAGACACTAATTAAAACAGTGTTCATGCAACAACGAGAATTGTAGAAATGGATTATTCCCAGCAGATTTCAGTAATGAAGTGCAGAAAATGCTGGAAGGATTCGAAGCTGATATTTTTAAGACACAGAAGAAGAAGGTGGAAGAGTTCAGTAAAAAATACAAATTAAAAAAGTTAGAAGAAATTTGAAAGAATCAGCAAACTGCCTGAGCCAAATCTCAGAGAGACTGGTAAACAGATTAAATCGGTATATCAACAATGGCCTAGTGGAAGAGAGCTAGACTGCTAGCCCAAATGTCTGGAGTTCGAATCCAGGTTCAAACCAGTCGAACATCCTCACTATTATTTCATGTGCCAATGTCTCTGCAACAATTGAACTCTACTTCATCTGTCGCGTGTGTCTTGGGCACGAACGCGAAAATATGATGATCACGCTAAAATACTGTCATTGGCAAGACATGTTCTGGTATCTAAGCTAAGAAAGTTTCTCGACTAGCAAGGTTGCTGGGTTAAAAAATTACTTGGCTCAGCTTTAACTTCATGTGTGTTTGAAACGTGTTCTATGTTGTTGAATTTCGCTACTTGAACACTTGCTATAACCATTGCCATTGGTTTCTTTATCTAGTCACGTGGGTTCTCTGAAGGAGTTGTTGAAGAGTTCTGACGAAGAGCTGCGCATCACAGCTGGGGAGACGATCGTCATGCTTTATCAGCTGGCTGGAGGTTCTGATAAGGTAGTTTTTTTCTGGCCAAATAGAGAGTTGTAGGGCTTTAGTAATTTTTTTTAAATCATTGCTTTACGTTATTTGTTTTTGTTGTAGGAATGTAAAGAGAAGGGTGATAATGAAAGTCTTCGTGAAATGTTAGATGGGCTAGCAACAGATTCTGTGAAATATCGGGCCAAGAAAGGCAGAGGACACTGGAAAACAAGCTTTAGAGATGTTCATCGCACTATTATAGTAAGTGACTACATCTATTCCTTTATTCCAAGTGACTTAATATATATAACGGTAGAGAGCTGGACTGCTAACCCGTAAGTCTCGAATTCGAATCCGGGTTCAAGTCATATCAGAGGCGTAGCGACCCTTCCCGGCGCCCGGGGACATACTTTCAATTTGGCGCCCCCTTGGGAGCAAACTATCGAGTTGCACCCCCCCCCCCTCGAACTTTTCATTTGCACCCCCCCTCTCAAACTTTCGATTTGCACCCCCCCCCCTCGAACTTTTCATTTGCACACCCCCTCAAACTTTCGATTTGCACCCCCCCTCGAACTTTTCATTTGCACCCCCCTCAAACTTTCAATTTGGCGCCCCCCCCTAAGGTCGGCGCCCGGGGACATATGCCCCCCCGCCCCCCCCCCCCTCGCTACGCTACTGAGTCATATGTGACCGTCTCTGAGTCCACCCAACTCTGATGGGTACCTAACTCACGTTAGGGAGAGTAAAGGCGTCTGGGCATAGTGCTGACCACACTACCTCTTCATATGCCGAGGTCACAGAAACAAGTGAACTCTACTTCACTTGCCCCATAGACCGTCAGGTTTGAAAGGGAAACTTTACTTTTACTATATATATATATATATATATATATATATATATATATATATATATATATATATATATATATCCTTTAACTACTGACCCTAGAATGGGACGGCGTGGCCTAAGCGGTAGAGTGAGTTCGAATCCGAGTTCACGTCAGTAGAACGTCCCTGTGTCCACCCAGCTCTAATGGGTACCTAACTTATGTTAGGGAAAGTAAAGCCGCTGGGCAAAGTGCTGAACTTCCCTTTATATGGCAAGGTCGAGAACTCTACTTCACCTGCCCAATGGATGACTAGATTTAAAGAGGATTCTTTACTTACATTACTGACTCTAATGCTACTACATCTATTCCTTGAACTACTCTGTTAACCTGGTAAGACCGTTTTTAACGATAAGTTTCCACAAATTGTAGGCAGGCTATATGGAGATTGTTGTCGGCAAAGCTATGAAAAAACCTTGCGCCACTAAGGAAATCGACAGCCAACTTGCCTCAACTGATGTAGAGACGTGTGAAACGGTCTCTGGTGAAAATATTTAGACATTTGGCCTAACATTTAGCTGGCCACTGGTAAAGTTTTGGAGATCTCCATCTTGATTATCTATCTTGATTATCTATCTTAATTCTCGTCATCAAAAAATAAATAAATGAAAGTAATGTTTATTCTTTCACCGAATGTTTTTGTGGTGCGTTTCTTCCGTCTATGTTTGTAGCCTGCTTGAATATGATAGTTTTTATGGGGATTTGATATCATTTTCATCATGATCCTTCTTTATTGCAATATATATGTTTAGAGAAAATATATAATATTGAAACAGAATAGAATAAATTATTTATTTTAGTCTATTCTTAGTTATGTTGGTTTGGTCAATTATCGCTCCTGGATTGATACAAAATAGAGTATACACAAACGATGTTCTATCGTATAAAGCTAATTACATATGTGTGTGTATGTGTGTCATATTAAGGTAGTCATATGAACCTTTGGTTTTGTGGGAAAATTAAAATTCTTTTATTAATAATAGTTTTATTACTTTATTCGTTAGTTTATTCATAAGTTCTTTGTTTTGTAATTTTCACTACCGTATTATTTGTTTCGGCATTAACTAATTACTTTATTAGTATTATATTTCGAATTAGATTTCGTTTCTTTATGTGTTATAATTAGATTTAAATTAAATTATCGAGTAGATACGTATTGTTTTAATTGTTATTAATACGCTAAGTGTCGGGGGGGGGGGGATCTTAACAAATTTGTAAGGTTGGAGTTAATCTTAAGACATTGGGTTAGTTTTTAATTACAATCAGTGCAAAGATAAACAAGAACGTTGGGTATACATTTTAAAGTGTTGGAAATCCCCCCAGTATAGCGTCGGTTATTAAAAAAACCCAGTAAAATAACGACGTAGTCTATCACGCCGTTCCGGAATCCACATAAAGCATACTTTATTTGGCGCCATCTTTTATTTTAAATACAGAACGTTCATGTTAAAAAATACTGTTTTACTAATCAATGTGTATTGTAACACGGCCTCAGTAGGGATGATGTTTCTGTGATGGATAAGTTTCTGTGATGGATAAGTTTCTGTGATGGATAAGTTTCTGTGATGGATAAGTTTATTTGATGGATAAGTTTCTACGTTTGATAATTTTATGTGATACGTTTATGTGATGGATACATTTCTGTGATGGATAAGTTTATTTAATGGCTAAGTTTATTTGATGGATATGTTTCTGTGATGGATACGTTTATTTAATGGATAAGTTTATTTGATGGATACATTTATTTAATGGATAAGTTTATTTGAAGGATAAGTTTATTTGATGGATAAGTTTATTTAATGGATAAGTTTATTTGATGGATAAGTTTATTTGATGGATAAGTTTATTTAATGGATAAGTTTATTTGATGGATAAGTTTATTTGATGGATAAGTTTATTTGATGGATAGGTTTATTTGATGGATAAGTTTCTGTGATGGATAAGTTTATTTAATGGATAAGTTTATTTAATGGATAAGTTTATTTAATGGATAAGTTTATTTAATGGATAAGTTTATTTAATGGATAAGTTTATTTAATGGATAAGTTTATTTAATGGATAAGTTTATTTGATGGATAAATTTCTGTGATGGATAAGTTTATTTAATGGATAAATTTCTGTGATGGATAAGTTTATTTGATGGATAAGTTTCTGTGATGGATAAGTTTCTACGTTTGATAATTTTATGTGATACGTTTATGTGATGGATACATTTCTGTGATGGATAAGTTTATTTAATGGCTAAGTTTATTTGATTGACATGTTTCTGTGATGGATACGTTTATTTAATGGATAAGTTTATTTGATGGATAAGTTTATTTGATGGATAAGTTTATTTGATGGATAACTTTATTTGATGGATAAGTTTATTTGATGGATAAGTTTATTTGATGGATAAGTTTATTTGATGGATAAGTTTCTGGGATGGATAAGTTTCTGTGATGGATAAGTTTTTTTGATGGATAAGTTTCTGTGATGGATAAGTTTCTACGTTTGATAATTTTATGTGATACGTTTATGTGATGGATACATTTCTGTGATGGATAAGTTTATTTAATGGCTAAGTTTATTTGATGGACATGTTTCTGTGATGGATACGTTTATTTAATGGATAAGTTTATTTGATGGATACGTTTATTTAATGGATAAGTTTATTTAATGGATAAGTTTATTTGATGGATAAGTTTATTTAATGGATAAGTTTATTTGATGGATAAGTTTATTTGATGGATACGTTTATTTGATGGATAAGTTTATTTGATGGATAAGTTTCTGTGATGGATAAGTTTATTTGATGGATAAATTTCTGTGATGGATAAGTTTATTTAATGGATAAATTTCTGTGATGGATAAGTTTATTTGATGGATAAGTTTCTGTGATGGATAAGTTTCTACGTTTGATAATTTTATGTGATACGTTTATGTGATGGATACATTTCTGTGATGGATAAGTTTATTTAATGGCTAAGTTTATTTGATTGACATGTTTCTGTGATGGATACGTTTATTTAATGGATAAGTTTATTTGATGGATAAGTTTATTTGATGGATAAGTTTATTTGATGGATAACTTTATTTGATGGATAAGTTTATTTGATGGATAAGTTTATTTGATGGATAAGTTTATTTGATGGATAAGTTTCTGGGATGGATAAGTTTCTGTGATGGATAAGTTTATTTGATGGATAAGTTTCTGTGATGGATAAGTTTCTACGTTTGATAATTTTATGTGATACGTTTATGTGATGGATACATTTCTGTGATGGATAAGTTTATTTAATGGCTAAGTTTATTTGATGGACATGTTTCTGTGATGGATACGTTTATTTAATGGATAAGTTTATTTGATGGATACGTTTATTTAATGGATAAGTTTATTTAATGGATAAGTTTATTTGATGGATAAGTTTATTTAATGGATAAGTTTATTTGATGGATAAGTTTATTTGATGGATACGTTTATTTGATGGATAAGTTTATTTGATGGATAAGTTTATTTAATGGATAAGTTTATTTAATGGATAGGGCCTACGTTTATTTGATGGATAAGTTTCTGTGATGGATAAGTTTATTTGATGGATAAATTTCTGTGATGGATAAGTTTATTTGATGGATAAATTTCTGTGATGGATAAGTGTATTTAATGGATAAATTTCTGTGATGGATAAGTTTATTTAATGGATGTGTTTCTAAGCCAGGTACGGGACAACCAGCCTAGTGCCGGCGCCCGGTTATTTGGCGCCCAGGACAAAACTTATTAAAACGCCCCCTTTCGCACACATTAATTAAAACATATGTATAAGAAATCAATCAATTAAAAGTGACATATTTATTTATTATCAATTGCATACACGTTATAAGTAGACATCGAAAGCTTCTTTTACTTGCCTGCTTCGTCTCAAAAGTTTGTTCAAATTCCTTAAATTCCAGTTTGCAAACGTAATCACATTTTATTGAAATTGTTGCTAAGTGCACGCGTCTACTTTGTACTTTACGACATAACCCCCCCCCCCCCCTTAGAACATTTTAAGTGCTCCCCCCTCCCGGGAGAAAAAAGTCTGGAAAAAAACCACTGAAAAAAATTGTTCTTGTAGTATTGGGCTCACTGCAGTCCTCCCAAGGTAAATTTTAAAACGGAACTTACCTGTTATAAGCTTGACTGTCTTTGGTTAAAATTGTTAAATGTCTATATTGTGTGATTAAGTTACGATTTTTTTGTTTATGAAAAATAAAAGGTTATAAATAATATAGATTCCAGTCTAGAATTGTTATATATGAATACTTTAGGAGAGGGTGAAAAATATGAAAATACAATTAATGAGATGTTTAATTTACGATACGACTGTATCTCTACTAACATTTTAAATATTGTAATCTATAATGGCTACTGATGTATTTTTTAAACTTGATAATGCTAAAAAAAACGACCAAACTATTTTGTTTAGAACTTTAGCTCTAATTAATTTTTACGATAGCAAATAATAACTTAAAGGTGTATTTATAAGTAAGCGGTCAACCTAAGTTGCAGGAATTTGAAATGAATGCAAAGTTGAGCAATGAATTATCTCCCATATGAAAATCCAAATACCAAAATTTTAATCAAGGGAAATAACTTTAATAGGAATAGCTAAATTAACCAAGTGTAACAAAGACATGTTTGAAAAGCACAATAAAACGCTGTAAATTTCATTACGTAATAATTATATTAAATTGTTTTATATTATCTATGTAACTTTGTAAAAACAATATATTTTACCCATTGAGTACTTAACTATAGTTTTTGTTTGAAAGTCTAAAAACAACAGCTTTATTACAACATACTTCCATTCAATTTTGATGACAGACATTCTCTTGTTAGCTTGAACTGTAAAATCATTAATTTAAAATTTTGGATCCCTTAAATAAAGGGACGGCTTTCAAAATAGCAAACACGGGTTACTGTTTTAGACATTGCAAGAATTATTGATTAAATATAAAACAAATATAATTTGCTAAAAACAACGTTTACGTTTAGTAATAAATTCCATCCTATTTTATATTATATATTAATACTTTTAGAGTGGTAATACAGATTCCTATAAAACTAAAGATTTTTCAACTAGAGAACGCCTACCTTTCTTTGTAGTGTGTTACGTACTGAATTGAAATAATCTAACTTACGATAAACTCGACTACTCGATATACTCTACTACATTCACAACACATATCAAACTTCGATACCTAAACATCACTAGACTCGATGCTCCAGAACTACGACACCAACTCGTTAACTTCACCAAGTTCTACAAACGGTACTCCCAATCAACAACGATTTCACTGGACCTACTACTACACTATAACAGTCAATATAATGCGATACCTTAATACCACAATAATCAATACTCCCTAACCCCAGAACTACGATACTTCATCACCAGCATTCTCATTTCTCTATTACCAATCAGATTTATCTAGACCTTCTACTCCAAAACCGCAAATAAAAATTATGAGACTTTAGCACTTCGATACTTTATTTCTACCTATGAAACCATATCAGCAACAGCCTTCCGCCGTTACTCCCAAATCTAAACGATTCATCAAAACTTACCAAACAAGTACAATACTTTGAAAATCCCATCACTACAAAACTATGTACACCAGGACAGATTTCTAATTGAAAGTCAGAGAAAACGAGACTTACAAGCCCTATTAAAATTAAATAACCCTTTGAAATGTTCTAAATTTAAATAACGAACGTATTTAATCGTTTTCTACATCAATTATGTGACACGAAATTAAAAAGGCAAAGTGACTGGTAAAAAGCGCCCCGACTTTTCCAAATTAGGGATGTAGGGTTGCATTTTCACCATCGCGAATAACTATAGGCCTATATAGACCTAATTTTGGGGTGGGGATGCAAAATTGATAGTTCGTCCTGGGTTCTACGAATATATCGCTACTCCTTTATAAAAGTTATTAATTATTAGGTACTTTTTGATAATAGCGATTAAACGTTTTGCGCCCCCCCCCCCCTAGGAATGGCGCCCTAGGCGACCGCCTAGTTTGCCTTATAGGTAGCGCCGGCCCTGGCGAAGCCGTAGAGAGCTATACTGCCATCCGGAAAGTCTCAGGGTTCAAGTCAGTAGAATGACACTGAGTCCACTACAGCTCCGTTAGGGAAAGCAAAGGTGGCTGGGCATAGTGCTGACCACACTATCCCTTCATATGCCGAAGAATCTGCAAAAATGGTAGAGACAAACTCTACTTCATCTACTCCTTGTGTTGTGTGCACGAACGGGAAAAGATGATGACGCTAAAATACGTGGGTTCTCTGAATGAGTTACTGAAGAGTTCAGACGAAGAACTGCGCATCACAGCTGGGGAGACGATCGTCATGCTTTATGAGCTGGCTGGAGGTTCTGATAAGGTAGTTTTTTTCTGGCCAACTAGAGAGTTCAAGGGCTTTAGTAATTTTTTAAATCATTGCTTTACATCAGGGGTCTCCAAACTGCGGGCCGCATGCGGCCCGCGAGGTCCTTTTATTCGGCCCGCGGAGATCTTTTTGTCCACGGAAAAAACGTTTGTTTGTGATTGCTGAGGAACTTTGCCCAGAAAAATCAAAGACATGCCTGGAAGAGACTGGCCCCCGAACTGAAATTTGATAGTTAATGCGGCCCTCGGACTGAAAAGTTTGGAGACCCCTGCTTTACATAATTGTTTTTGTTGTAGGAATGTAAAGAGAAGGGGGATAATTAAAGTCTTTGTAAAATGTTAGATGGGCTAGCAACAGATTCTGTGAAATATCGGGCTAAGAAAGGCAGAGGACACAGGAAAACAAGCTTTAGAGATGTTCATCGCACTATTGTAGTAAGTGACTACATCTATTCCTTTATTCCAAGTGACTTACTATATATATATATATATATATATATATATATATATATATATATATATATATATATATATATATATATATATATATATATATATATATATATATATATATATATATATATATATATATATATATATATATATAAAACTACTGACCCTAGAATGGGACGGCGTAGCCTAAGAGGTAGAGTGAGTTCAAATCCGAGTTCACGTCAATAGAACGTCCCTGTGTCCACCCAGCTCTAATGGGTACCTAACTTATGTTAGGGAAAGTAAAGCCGCTGGGCAAAGTGCTGACCTTCCCTTCATATGGCAAGGTCAAGAACTCTACTTCACCTGCCCAATGAATCACTAGATGTAAAGAGGATTCTTTACTTACATTACTGACTCTAATGCTACTACATCTATTCCTTGAACTACTCTGTTATCCGGGTAAGACCGTTTTTAACGATAAGTTTCCACAAATTGTAGGCAGATTGTTGTCGGCAAAGCTATGAAAAAACCTTGCGCCACTAAGGAAGTCGACAGCCCACTTGCCTCAACTGATGTAAAGACGTGTGAAACGGTCTCTGGTGAAAATATTTAGATGTTTGGCCTAACATTTAGCTGGCCACTGGTAAAGTTTTGGAGATCTCCATCTTGATTATCTATCTTGATTCTCCGTCATAATTCTCGTCATCAAAAAATAAATAAAAGTAATGATTATGTTTTCACCGAATGTTTTTGTGGTGCGTTTCTTCCGTCTATGTCTGTAGCCTGCTTGAAAACGATGGTTTTTATGGGGATTTGATATTTTTATTATGATCAATCTTTATTACAATATAAATGTTTAGAGAAAATATATAACATTGAAACAGAATAAAATATATTATTTATTTTTGTCTATTCTTAGTTATGTTGGTTTGGTCAATTATCTCTCCTGGATTGATACAAAATAGAGTATGCACAACCGATGTTTTATTGTATAAAGCTAATTACATATGTGTGTGTATATGTGTGTCATATTAAGGTAGTCATATGAACCTTTGGTTTTGTGGGAAAATTAAAATTCTTTTATTAATAATAGTTTTATTACTTTATTCGTTAGTTTATTCATAAGTTCTTTGTTTTGTAATTTTCACTACCGTATTATTTGTTTCGGCATTAACTAATTACTTTATTAGTATTATATTTCGAATTAGATTTCGTTTCTTTATGTGTTATAATTAGATTTAAATTAAATTATCGAGTAGATACGTATTGTTTTAATTGTTATTAATACGCTAAGTGTCGGGGGGGGGGGGATCTTAACAAATTTGTAAGGTTGGAGTTAATCTTAAGACATTGGGTTTGTTTTTAATTACAATCAGTGCAAAGATAAACAAGAACGTTGGGTATACATTTTAAAGTGTTGGTAATCCCCCAGTATAGCGTCGGTTATTTAAAAAAAAACAGTAAAATAACGACGTACTCTATCACGCCGTTCCGGAATCCACCCGGAGTACTGTAAACCATACTTTATTTAGCGCCATCTATTAATTTGAATACAGAACGTTCATGTTAAGAATAATACTGTTTTACTAATCAATGTGTATTGTAACACGGTCTCAGTAGGGATGATGTCACACACTCAATGCCGGCGCCAGGTTATTTAGCGCCCTATGCAAAACTTATTAAAAGCGCCCCCCACCCCGCAATTTTTTGTACCCCCGTATTATCAGAGGCGTAGCTACCCTTCCCGGTGCCTGGGGACAAACTTTCGATTTGCACCCCCCCCCCTCAAACTTTCGATTTGCATCCCCCCTCAAACTTTCAATTTATTTTTCCAACCCATTTTGACGCCCCCTACGGACAGCGCCCTAGGCGACCGCTTAGTTCGCCTTATAGGTAGGGGCTACCCTGCACACACTGAGGTGTTTTTAAGGGATGACCCTGAGAGATAACACCTTGACATCAAAAGAGCCACATATGGCTCACGAGCTGCACTTTGCCGACCCCTGAAATAGAAGGTTACGGCCAATATACAATACTGCCAATACTGCCAACAAGTATTACAATTATTGTTTTCACATATGAGTAGTATATTAGGTCCCTTTTGGTTAGTATCCGCAGGCGCAGGCACAGGGTGAGGGTGAGGGTGAACAAAGGCTATATAGGAAAATACTCCCCGCCTGGGGGACCCGCAGGAACAATGACATATAGTAAAATACTCCCCCACCTGGGGGAGCAGGGTTAAGGGTGAAGGGTGAGGGTTAGACATGTTATATAGTAAAAATCTCCCCCAACTGGCGCAGGGTGAAGGGTGAAGGGTGAGGGTGAAGGGTGAGCCTGGGACAATGAGATATAGTAAAATACTCCCCCACCTGGGGGATGCGGAGGTGGTGGGGGAGTAGGTCAGTAGGTCACCACCGGTGACCTTGTGACGTAATCAGTGACCTTGTCACGTAATTGGTGACCTTGTGACGTAATCATTGACCTAGTTACGTAATTTTAATGAGTTTTTTAATTAGTTTTAATGAATTTTTAAAATTTTTATTAACTTTTATTAACGAGTTACGTAATTTGATTATTTGTTTACTTTTTTAATTGTTTAATTTGTTTGTTTACTTGTTGTTTAATTTAATTACTTTGTTTATATTGTGTAAATTTTTTATTGAGTAGTTACGTGATTGGATTTTAATTTTTTTAATTTTTTAAATTTTTAAATTTTTTAAATTATTAATTTTTAATTTTTAATTTTAATTTGTTTATTTGTTTATTTGTTGGTTTGTTTATTTGATTGTATGTATGTTTAATAGTAAACGGAGAGGGGGTGGTGGTGGTTGAGAGGGATGGTCGGGGAGGAGAGGGGAGTAATGACGGGGTTTGAGGGTAGGGGTGTGCTAGAATGTACTAGATCATTCTTTGTATATCATCCATTTATCCGCGGCTAATCGTTATCAACACCTGTTACTTATCGATTCACCAGCGATCCTTTGTTTTTGTCAAACACCGGACAAGGTCCAACTTAATATTGATCCCACCCACGGGCCATCATCAGCATGATGGTCCGCCTAATTAATTTGGTCACGCATCATGGATTTTTCCCCGCTAGGTTTGACAGCTTATGATGATTAATTTATATATTCTCTAAGTGTAAAGCAAAGAGCGGGGGGGGGGGGGGGGATCTGAAAAAGGATTTTAAAAGGGACAACAAAACGCCGATGTGCTTCTATCCATCAGTACCGGAGTTGGGATGGTCTCAATTACTTTTCCTAAATCCTTATTGTAAAACATTCAAGGGAGAGAATTCAAATTATACACTATTACTATTTTATTTTGTAAAATAAAAATTAGTAAACGTACACAAAACCAAAATTATTAATTTTATATTCCTTATGATTATTTGTAGAATACGCAAGAACGCAAGAAAATTATTTTTTTTTCAACTACACTTTTTTTTATTATGGTCGGCTGTGGGCCCTAAACGGCGCCAACCCCCCCCCCCCCCCACCTGGCATTGCGGGGTCTGGCGTCACTGTAGTTCCACCCCTGGCCCCGCAGCTCCCCTGCTAATCCGGATTCACCCCCTCTCTTCTTACACTACTCGGTGTGCAAAATCGGTAATTCCCAATTAATTCTTGTTTCTAAATGAAAGCAATTGGACCAGAGATACCATCACTTCCGCTCCGTGACCACAATGGAAGGTTCACGTAATAATCAGATAGAAAGATTTCTAAACCGCACTCATCTGTGGCGTCTGGTAAATGGATATCATCGGATTAGATGGTGGATTCTATCCAGGATCAGAAGAATAAGAAACGACCTGGTTCACGAGCTTGGTGCAGATTCTGACGAAGATATAGATGAGAACGACGTCAGCTATGATATTGATAACGATACCCTGCTGTGCAGTAAGTGCTGATTAAAATTGCGATAACAATGGACAAGAACGAGAAGAGTCCCGTGAGGCATATTACATATATTTTTAAAATCATATGCGGCGTTATAAAAATTAAGGTGGTTATAAAAATTTAATAGTGACATTTTTGTCTGACATATTTGATGTATAATGTACTTGGTGTTTTTAGTATTGATTCTTAAAATATTATATTTCTGAATTAATAGTCTGAAGTTTTTTTTGTTTTTTTTTTTTACTGCCGCTATTAAGGCGAAAAGGACAGGAACACGATTTGTGTCCATGTCCGTATCAGAGGCGTAGCGATGGGGCGGCAGGGGTGGGGGGGAGGCGGGGGGGGGGGGCGTATGTCTCCGGGCGCCGAACTTAGGGTTTCGCCAAAATGGGTTTGAAAAACAAATTGAAAGTTTGAGGGCGGTTGTGCAAATTAAAAGTTTGTCCCCGGGCGCCGGGAAGGGTCGCTACGCCTCTGGTCCGCATTGACGTGTATGACGGAAAACCTTTCGCCTAACTCTAACTCATTGCTGTCCATTAGTTCTATATCTAGAACAAGTTGATCTAGACCTAGTTCCAGTACTGTTTCGGTTTCCACAGTCGTTATTTATTATTAGTTATAATTATATTATCGACTCTAGAATTAGACCGATGACATTTCGCTAAATTTTACCAAAGTAATAACTTAACACATCTCCATCTTAATAAGAAAACCATTTATGGTATATATTTTGTATCGTTGTAGATTTGTTTTTAATTAAATTTCCTTGTGGTTGTAAGTGTTGAGGCTACTTTCTGGATAGTGAGTCACTGTATATGGTGATGGGTGTGTAAAGCCACGCTACAGCTACATTCTTGCTAGTGGGTAGCATTATGGACTCTAATGGTGGTCTGTATCAACACTTACTACATTCTGGTTTGGGTAGCCAATGCCTCAGCGCCATCAACATCTAGGTGGTACAGCATCAAGATCCACGAGACTTATATAATGCAAGTTCTATAACATTTAAAACCTATCCTAGAATCAGACAATATTCACTTGTAAGTAATGTGGGATGAGGCTGGTGGGTTTCACGTGTGTTAATGATGTGATCAGATCCAAAAGTCTTGGGTTCACATCTCAGGTTTGAGTTTATTCAGCTTTAATAAGTACCTGGAGTGAAGGCAGTTGGGTGCAGAAATATCTCCACTAACCCTTTGTATTAAAAGTGCAGTGAGACAGGGGCGACAACTTGACTTGCTTCACTCAGGTTGAACCTTGTGATCAGTCATTCCGTGAGAGCAACGGTTGACGGTGAAATGTTTGTTTGAAACTGTATCTCAAGTATTCGTTTTCTTTGACCGTAGTTTTATCAAATTAAAGTTTCCCTTTCAAACCTGACGGTCTATGGGGCAAGGAAAGTAGAATTCACTTGTGATATGTTTGTTTGAAACTGTATTTAAAGTACTCGTTTTCTTTGACCGTAGTTTTATCAAATTAAAGTTTCCCTTTCAAACCTCACGGTCTATGGGGCAATGGAAGTAGAATTCACTTGTGATATGTTTGTTTGAAACTGTATTTAAAGTACTCGTTTTCTTTGACCGTAGTTTTATCAGCTAGGGAGAATTAGCTTTGACTTAAAACTTTCGAGGGGTGGGGGGAGTTAGCCATGGAGGTCTAATCATACATAGAAAAGATGAAGAAGAGCTCATATGTTTCTCTGACCTCGACTTATTAAGGGATGGTGAGGTCAGGACTATGCCCAGCACCTTTACTTACCCAACGGGGCGGGGCACTTAAATTGGGTCGGCGGACACTGGTTAAAATTTATTTTCTAAATAAATTATGTATATATATTTTAATTTTTTTTTTGGGGGGGGGGGGGGGGATCCAGGGATAGTGCCCCCCCCCATCGCCCAATGAAGATATGCCTGAAACAAACTTTGGTAGTTCTTAGACCATTTAACGTGTATTAATTTTATTTTTAATATACCGAATATAATTTTAAACGACGTGATTGTACTATCTTTTGCTATGTCGCTGTTCCGCTCCGTTAGTTTGACCCTGGCTTCGACTATTGTATAGTAAACAATTTGGTTTGGAGTAACTAGAATTAAACTTAACCAAATGATGCTAATCGTTGAAATGTGTGTACATCCATCTATTTGTTTACGTCAGCCAATGTCTTTACATCCATCTATTTGTGTACATTCATCTATTTGGGTATATTCATCTATTTGTGTACATTCATATATTTGTGTACATTCATCTATTTGCGTACATTCATCTATTTGTGTACATGCATCTATTTGTGTACATTCATAAATTTGTGTACATTCATAAATTTTTGTACATTCATCCATTTCTGTCACATTCATAAATTTTTGTACGTTCATCCATTTCTGTCACATTCATCAATTTGTGTACATTCATCAATTTGAGTACATTCATCAACTTGTGTACATTCATCAATGTTGTACATACATCAATTTTTGTACATACATCTATTTGTGTACATTCATCAATTTGTGTATATACATCTATTTGTGTACATTGATCAATTTGTGTACATTCATCAATTTGTGTACATTCATCTATTTGTGTACATTCATCAATCTGTGTACATTCATCAATTTGTGTAAACTCATTAATTTTTGTACATTCATCAATGTGTATACATGCATCTATTTAAGTACATTCATCAATGCGTATACTTCCATGAATGTGTGTCCATCCATCAATCTGTGTACATTTATCAATTTGTGTACTTACATCAATTTGTGTACATCCATCTATTTATGTACATCCATGTATTTGGGTATATCCATCTATTTGTGTACATTCATCTATTTGTGTACATCCATCTATTTGTGTACATCCATCTATCTGTGTACATCCATTTATTTGTGTACATCCATATATTTTTGTACATTCATCTATTTGTGTACATCCATTTATTTCTGTACATCTATATATTTGTGTACATCCATCTATTTGTGTACATCCATCTATCTGTGTACATCCATTTATTTGTGTACATCCATCTATTTGTGTACATTCATCTATTTGTGTACATCCATTTATTTGTGTACATCCATATATTTTTTGTATATCCATCTATTTGTGTACATCCATCTATTTGTGTACATCCATATATTTTGTGTACATCCATCTATTTGTGTACATCCATCTATTTGTGTACATCCATATATTTTGAGTACATCCATCTATTTGTGTACATCCATCTATTTGTGTACATTCATCTATTTGTGTACATCCATCTATTTGTGTACATCCATATATTTTGTGTACATCCATCTATTTGTGTACATCCATTTATTTGTGTACATCCATATATTTTTTGTATATCCATCTATTTGTGTACATCCATCTATTTGTGTACATCCATATATTTTGTGTACATCCATCTATTTGTGTACATCCATCTATTTGTGTACATCCATATATTTTGTGTACATCCATCTATTTGTGTACATCCATCTATTTGTGTACATCCATCTATTTGTGTACATCCATCTATTTGTGTACATCCATATATTTTGTGTACATCCATCTATTTGTGTACATCCATTTATTTGTGTACATCTATATATTTGTGTACATCCATCTATTTGTGTACATCCATCTATTTTTGTACATCCATATATTTGTGTACATCCATGTATTTGTGTACATCCATCTATTTGTGTACACCCATCTATTTGTGTACATCCATCTATTTGTGTACATCCATATATTTGTGTACATCCATCAATTTGTGTACATCCATCTACAGTAAAGGATTATCCATCGGACTCGTCTCTAGAGGAGAAAGAAAAACCCATTCGAGTCGAGTACCTGAGCGTCAAAAGGTAATTCACCGTGGTGTTAAATGTGTGTTCAAATTAAAAGGTAGTTAACAATGTCTTGCGAATTATGGCACTCGTAAAAAGTAGTTTAACTTGTGAAATTTATGGTACAATTAACAAATATGTGTGTTTAGCGTGTTAGGTTGTTTCGTAAACTAATGCTTATAAATTCATTTTGCGATATATTTTTAGCCATCATTTATTACATGTTGTAATGGTTTAAAAATTGAAGTGACAGTTGATAAGACTTCGTAGAGATTAATTTCTTATCGTATTTGTATATATGTATATATTTAACAATATACATAACGTGTTTTACAGTGATTTATTTCGCATCAATCTGCTGCGAGTGATCAAAAGAAGGCTTCAGGTGCAAGGATTTGAAAGGTTAGGGTTCAAATCTCGTTTGTCTTGTGTGTGATGTGCACGCTTGGTCTATCTGGCTCTGATAGTTTGAGACAGATACATTACATGTGCTTCATTTGCTTCATCTGCCTTGCTTTGTCATTGGTCGAAACTGGCGAACGAAATTGTGACCACTCCTAGACGACCAATTTCTATAAAGCTTGGCGCGTGGTTCAGGACCAATAATAGAGCAACGTGACATTAATTGTGACTTAATAATTGGGCACAGGACAAATGATCTCAGGCAAAATAACCAGGACATAAAAAAAATCTCACGGACAAAGGATCACAGGAAAATTGTTTCCGATTCATCAAATTATATATCTGTTGCTGTGTAGGACACAAAAGTCATCAACTCATATCTGTACCCTTCAGGTTAGAAGCTTGCACGAAGGAAGGGCTCGGTGACGGCCTGCTGAAGTGTCTGAAGGAACAAATGGGAAAAGAGCGGGACCTGGCCGCTGATTGCCTGAGGCTGCTGGCCGTGGAGCTACGTGCCGAGGGTTCCAGCATATTTCGGGACAAGATTTACCCTGAGCTGACCCCCCTGTTGACAGACGGCACCACCCACTACAAGACTCGCGCGGCCTGTGCCATGACACTCGCCACCTGGTGCTACCTGTGTTCCAGTGACCTGCAGGTATTCCATGCATTTTTTACACGCGAGTGTTTTAGCCCTTTTTTGTTTAAATAGGTTTAGGACATTACTACCCCCCTCGTTCCCCTCCCTCTCGACATTACCCCCCCCCCCCCCCGAGACATTACCCCCTGACAATCAACGCCCGAGTAAGTACCCCCCCCCCCCCCATCCGATTCTGAAGAACTCTGACCTTAACTCAAACCACAAACCCTGACCAGAACAATAGCCCCAAACCTCATTGACCGGTGGGGGGGGGGGTGTAATATATTTGAGGGGGGGGGGGGAAATGTCATGCTCCTTGCTTAAGTACAGTTCTATTTGAAGAAAATACTTTCCGCAATGAAAAACACAAATTGTTTTTAAATGCCAAGCTTTTGTCCTAACAATTGTCGAAAATTCTCTGAAACTCATTTGCAGACGTATTCTCTATATTTCTCACGGACTGTTGTTTCATTGACAAATTATCTATTCACTACTTTTCAATCTGTTAGTTCCATTCCGGTTAGCTGGACCATTATAACAAAATGTTTTCTTTGAAATATCTGATTTCTACTTGAAATTTCCAGTAAATAACTTCTTGTTATTAGTGTAAATATGTTACCTTCGAACTGAGTTGCATGATTAAAAAATTAGTTTTGATTTTTAGTCGCATCTCTGGGTTTTTTTAACATGCTGATCATTTGACAGACAAGGTACTCCAAGTTGAAGCTTTAGAAATGTTACAACATTGTTTTCTCTGTAGTGCAATTCAAATATGGGTGGATTTCCTATACCAGTGTCCGATAATAGAATCTTTTTTTTAAAAAAACAGGGGTTAGGCTTAGGGTTAGGGTTGCTGATAGTTAACTAAATACACTAACGGTTTGCTAATTTCAAAGATAACCCTACCCCTAACTCCTACCCTAGTCTACAATAGGCCTAACCCTAATTTCTAACCATAATACTAGTCGAGATAACAATACAACTAACAACCTAACACACCTATTTTCGGAAGAGTCTATTATAGGACTAGTGTCTTAATCATCCTAAATATTATGTAAATACAAACGGTAGCTGCAGTGAGTTTAATAATAAATCAGATAGTGTTAGTTTCCTCACAAGTTAAAGACAGTTACATTGACTATGGACGTTTCGACCCAAGGTCTTCGTCAACACACAACAATGTAACTAACACTATCTGTTTTATTACTAATCAAATATTATGTAAATATACAAAGGCGTATTTCTGAGTTTGGGATCTGATTTTAAGACCAATAGCTATTACGTTAGTTCTGTGCTTTTTCCCTTAAAATATAAGTCAATTTTTGTGCAAAGTTTTACATACACTTTTTTTTTTCATTTCAAGAAATTCCAAGAGCTGAGAACAAAGCTCGAAGATATGTTCGTTCCTGTCTGTGGGCAGGGAGATAACTCTCTAGTCAAGAGGGCACAAGGAGATAACTCTCTAGTCACTAGTGCACAAGGAAACAACTCTCCAGTCAGTAGCGGGCAGGGAGACAACTCTCAGAACGTAATATTCCAACAGAATTGGCTGATGTGTCACGTCTTGAAGGCTTGGTGTCTTCTGTTGACCAGTTGCACACAAGATGACATCCAGGCCCACATCAACAAGTAGGTTCACTATGGTGTTGGTAGTCTAGGTGATATTTTTATAATGTAGTTACATAATCTTTTGGGCAGTGTTTCTTGCAATCTCTTCATCAGTGTTTCTTCCAGACTTTTTTCCCGGGGGGCACTTGAAATTTTCGGGGGAGCGGTAGACTTTCTTCGGGTGGGGGGTGGGGGGGGGTGGGGGGGGGTGGGGGGGTGGGGGGTTGGAGCATTCTATGTTAAATGTATATATTTTCGATATAAATTCCATTTCGTTCGGGGGGGGGGGGTGGTAGACTTTCTTTGGGGGGGGGGGGGGGGGGGGCAGTCAGCTCTTCCGAAGAGATGACTGGAAGAAACTCTGCTCTTCATCTACCCCCACCCCTCGGAACGAAACATAATCTATATGGAAAATATATTCTTTGAACTAAAGCGAACATGGCAAGGCAAACTGACGCTTTTCAGTTAAGTATTTTAAAGTTAACAGATGTAGGCCGTATTAAAAGATGTTAATGTTAATTCGGGCAATGGTGAAAATTAAAAAAATATTTTACAAGTTGTATTTCAGTAAGAGCAGTCCGCACCCGCAGTCCTAGCAAGCAAGGCAGTGTTAGTGCCATCTAGCCAAATGATTTCGGGCTACAAAAGAGTTAGACGCCTGTCGGACTGGCTATGTACAATCACATTGGGAGATAATTAAAAGCGGCCCTTTACCGACTTAAAATAGACATAGGCGTAGCGAGGGGGTCATATGTCCCCGGGCGCCGACATTAGGGGGCGCCAAAATGGGTTGGAAAAACAAATTGAAAGGTTGACGGGGAGAGGAGAGGGGTTCAAATCGAAAGGTTGAGGGTGGTGCACATCGAAAGGTTGAGGGGGAGGGGTGCAAATCAAAAGTTTGAGGGGGTGCAACTCGAAAGGTTGAGGGGGGGGGGGGTGCAAATCAAAAGTTTGAGGGGGTGCAAATCGAAAGTTTGTCCCGGGCGCCGGGAAGGGTTGCTACGCTTCTGAAAATAGATATGCGTACATAGTCACGGGTCATTTTAAAAATTACAAAATGTAAAAATTGCGAAACAAAAAATCAGGAATATTAATTAAATATTACATTTTTTAAAAATCAAGTAATTTATTGGCCAATTAAAATGGTACACTGGAGATATGTTAAATGTTTGAGAGCGGGTGTTTTTGAGCTGATAGGGTTCGAGCTAGATAAACTCCTGGGCAATGCATGATGTTTCAGGCGGTAGAAACAGTAGAACCAACTCACGTTTGGGACTGGATTAGTTTCTGAGTAAAAAATGTTTCAGCTAGCTATTAACTGTATAGCTCTACTCGGTACCAGACTCACGTTAAGGAAAGTAAAAGGCGTCTGGGCATATTGCTGACCACACTATTCCTTCGTATGGCCAGGTCACAGACACAGGTCAACTCTACTTCACTTGCCCCATGGGTCGTAACGTTCGAAAAAAGAACTTTAAGGATTTTTTGTTTGAATAATCTCTCAGTTGTTCTGTTTTAATTGCATTTTTACTTTCTCGTATATACGTAGTATAGAGAAAGTATTGTAATCGTGCAAAAAAAAAAAAAAAATCGAGATTTTTACAAATCTCGACGTTTTACACCTCACTGATACGGAAAAACATAATTTTGCAATCTTGTCCGTATGTCTGTGTGTGTGTCTGTGTGTCTGTGTGTCTGTGTGTCCGTGTGTAAACACGATAACTTGAGTACCGTTACAGCTAGGTTGATGAAATTTCATATATAAGTATTTTATCAAAATCGTAGATCCGTATCAACTTTTGAGCGATTTCCGAGAACCGGAAGTGGTACTTTTTCTACTTTGAATTTTTCAAAAGCCTATAACTTGAGTACTATTTCAGATAGATAAATGAAATTTCACATGTAAGTAAAAGATCTAATTCTCTACCTTCTGTTAAATTTTGAGTAATTTCCGTTGATCGGAAGTAGTAATTTACGCTACTTCCGATTTCTCAAAAAACTAATGTAAATTTTTAAAATACTAATAATATTGCGCACTATTATGCGCTTTTTTATTTGGCGTTCACTTGGTGTGCAATTAATTTGTCTACGAGATTTTATTCTATTTTTAAAAGTTTAAGTATTTAAAATGGATTAAAAATCATGTCTATAGCCCGAGTTCCCATCCCCTGTTATTTTATATAAGAATATTCGAGAAAGTTTAGGGTAGATCACTCCCGGTTTATTTAAATAAATGCAATGTTGTGGAATTTCTATTTTGTTTGTCCTTCTGTAGGCACATGGGTTCTCTGAAGGAGTTTTTGAAGAGTTCTGACGAAGAGCTGCGCATCACAGCTGGTGAGACGATTGTCCTGCTTTATGAGATGTCCAAAGGTGCTAAAGAGGTAAATTTTTATCTGGCCAGTAACTGAGAGTTAAAGGACTTGAGTCTTTTGTTGAAAACATCGCTTCATGCGTCTGTTTTTACTGTAGGAATTTAGCGAGGAGGAGAATGAAGCAAAGCTTTGTAAACAGTTGAAGCAGCTTGCTAGTGAGTCTGTCAGACATCGGGCCAAGACCAGCAGACGACGCCAGAAGGCAAGCTTTAGGGACGTTTACAGAAATGTCGTTGTGAGTTTTGACTCTTCAGCCACACAAGTTATTTTTATTTTTTTACAACAACCGATAAACTTGTGTAGGCTATATCTCAAATATTTGGTCTATTTATGGAATTCGGTTGTATAATTTTGCTATTTTTAGACGAAAATAGGTCATGATACAAAAAAGCAGCAATTTTAAAGCTTTCCATAGATGTATAAGGGTATATGGGTAGATAAAATACGTAATACAAATATTGGGGTCAAATTAAACTAATAATTAGCTTTCTGGCAAAAACTGAGCCATGGTTACGATTTTAAAATTAATTTTAAGCATATCTTAAAATAACATAAGCCACAATAAGTTTCCTTTTAATAAAAGTGTTTCTAAGATTTTGAATTGTTTATTTCAATAAACCGGGAGTGATCTCCCCTAAACTTTCTCGAATATTCTTATATAAAATAACAGGGGATGGGAACTCGGGCTATAGACATGATTTTTAATCCATTTTAAATACTTAAAGTTTTAAAAATAGAATAAAATCTCGCAGACAAATTAATTGCACACCAATTGAACGCGAAATAAAAAAGCGCATAATAGTGCGCAATATTATTATTACTTTTAAAATTTACATTAGTTTTTTGAGAAATCGGAAGTAGCGTAAAGTACTACTTCCAGTCAACGGAAATGACTCAAAATTTAATAGAAGGTAGAGAATTAGATCTTTTACTTACGTATGAAATTTCATTTATCTATCTGAAATAGTACTCAAGTTATAGGCTTTTGAAAAATTCAAAGTAGGAAAAGTACCACTTCCGGTTATCGGAAATCGCTCAAAAGTTGATACGGATCTACGATTTTGATTAAATACTTATATATGAAATTTCATCAACCTAGCTGTAACGGTACTCAAGTTATCGTGTTTACACACGGACACACACACACACACACACACACACACACACACACACACACAGACACACAGACATACGGACAAGATTGCAAAATTATGTTTTTCCGTATCAGTGAGATGCAAAACGTCGAGATTTGCAAAAATCTCGATTTTTTTTTTTTGCACGATTACAAGACTTTCTCTATACTTCGTATATACGAGAAAGTAAAAATGATAAAAAAATTGATATTTTCAAATTATTTAATATCCAAAAGAGAATCGGCTTAAGGGAATTGATGTAAGAATTTACTAAACGACAGCAGCTAAGATACTTATAATAACTTACAATAGGCAGTAGATAACTGCTGTATTGTAGTAAGTCACGTTGTAGAGGTGTGCACCTTAAAATGTAGTACATCCATTCCTGCAACTACCCTTGTATTTACTTTCGTTAGTTTTTTTACGATTTTCCCCCATTTTTAGGCATTTAAGTTGGAGGTTGCTGCCCTCAGAGCCAAGACTAACGTGTGTGCCATCACGGGCAGAGAGTGCCAGCATCATCTCAGCAAGTAGGAAGCCGATGCTTGAGATAGGTCTCTGGATGCTATAATTAATATCGTCGTATTCCATCCGTAGCGTGTCATCGATTGGCCTACATTGTTTGAACCTTTCATCTATTTTGTCGTCTTCACAAGTATCAACAATAAAACCATAACGTCACACCAAATTAACGATTTAGCTCAGCAAATGACTGAATTTTCTTTTTACTTAAATGTATCATTTTTCTCTATGTCATGCTTTCAATTAGATACGAATTTAACATTTATTTTCGGATTGTAAGATATGCTGTAATTAGTTGATTATTCTCAGTACCATCACTGCATACAATCATTACATCGTTGTACTGCATTTATTAGAAATTAAAAGTTAATGGAAAAATATCGTAATGAATTCTATAATTTAGCCTGCGGAATGTTCTCTGGTCAATAAACACAACTACCATTACAAATCTTCGTACTTTGTTTTCTATTTATATTACAGCCTTACTAGTTCCTTATTGTGTCATTATCTACAATCGCACTCATTCTTTGTTCCATCGTTCATTTATACTTTTCTAGTTCAATGTTTCTTTTTTGTGTTACTACTTTATTAGATATTCGTTTTTTTTTTAAATTTACTTTTAAAATATTTTTATCATGCTTTGGGGTCTGCGTGTCTCTTGACAATTGTTTAGCGCCCAACCTGTATACGCCTCTGATAGCCAGATGATATTAGTAATTACTGAACAATGGTCCGTTAACGCACACACACACACACACACACTCATATTATAGTTAAATGTAAAACGTAATACTAACTGCGTCTTTACGAATTCAATGAGATAATTTTATTCAGTGCCTGTAGATTCCACGCACGCATCTGTTAAGTCAACATTTTTGTAGTTATGACTCATAAAATATGAAGAATAAACATAGTCATTTATAAACATATTTTTCTCTGAAAAAGCATGTAACTAAAACAATTTGGTTGTCATTTGCAGTAGGGGAAAATTTCTTTGAGATACGACCTCTTTTAAGATTAGACAAATTAATTAGTTGGTAATGTTAGTGTCTTTATTACCAAGTATCGATGACGTCATTTTTATTGTGTAATTTTTTTTGGGCAATGGCTTTTATGTTTACTCGAAAATCAATAAGGTCATGTTATTGTGTGCACTTTTTCGGCTTTAGAATATTTCTTACTATATGTTCCATGTGACGTCACGTTTCGTTTTTCGTTTTCACTGTGAACGTTTTTACTTTCCTTGTGTTTTCTCTATAGTAAAAGCGCTCCCAACAGATAGATTTCGAGTTCGAATCCGGGTTCAAATCAGTGGAACGTTCACCCAACTCTGATGGGTACCCAAACTTACGTTCGGGAAACGAAGGCGGCTGGGCATAGTGCTGACTACCCTATCACTTCATATGCCGATGTCTCTGAAGCAGATGAACTCTGCTTCATCTACCCCCGGTCTCTTGGGCACGAACGGGAAACGATGATAGACTACCTAGGCAATGTATAATGCCTGAACATTCATTTTGTATTTTTTTCTTTCATTTTTTTGACTGCTTGTTAATTAAGACTTTTGCAACCAGGGCATTTCACACTTTGCCTGAGCAGTTCATTTAATTTTATGTTTAGGCATTTTATGCAATGCCTAGGAAAAGTTTGAAAGCGACAGGGATTGTATGCATTGCTGGGTTTTTTCACACACACACACACACGCACACGCACACGCACACGCACACGCACACGCACGCACACACACACACACACGCACACACGCACACACGCGCACACGCGCGCACGCGCGCACGCACACACGCACATACGCACACACGCACACACGCACACATGCACACACGCACACACGCACACACGCACACACACACACACGCACACACGCACACACGCACACACGCACACATGCACACACGCACACACGCACACACGCACACACGCACACACGCACACACGCACACATGCACACATGCACACACGCATACACGCACACACGCACACACGCACACACGCACACACGCACACACGCACACACAAAAGTACACGCACACACACAAGTACACGCGCACACGCGCACACGCGCACACGCGCACACGCGCACACTCGCACACGCGCACACGCGCACACGCGCACACGCACACACGCACACACGCACACACGCACACACGCACACACACAAGTACACGCGCACACGCGCACACGCGCACACGCGCACACGCGCACACGCGCACACGCGCACACGCGCACACGCGCACACGCGCACATGCGCACACGCGCACACGCGCACACGCGCACACGCGCACACGCGCACACGCGCACTTGCGCACACGCGCACACGCGCACACGCGCTCACGCGCACACGCGCACACGCGCACACGCACACACACGCACACACGCACACACGCACACACGCTCACACGCGCACACGCGCACACACGCACACACACACACACACACAAACACACACACATATATATATATATACATATATATACATATACATATACATATATATATACATATATATATACATATATATATATATATATATATATATATATATATATATATATATTTATATATATATATATGTATATATATATATATATATATATATATATATATATATATATATATATATATATATATATATATATATATATATATATATATATATATATATATATATATATATGAACTTCTTCTTCGTTCTTAATTGTTAGTCTCGGTTTAGCGTTCATGATCCTTACCGACTTGACCAAGCCGACCCCTTTCCAATACAATTAAATAAACGTTTCAACTGGTTATGCGCCATTGAGGCCATTGACTCCGATTTCAGCCTGACTTTTCTTTTTGGATTTGCTTCCACAGCCTTTGTCCAACCAAGAACAAACTACAAGGCAGCAGTTGTTTGATTTTGGAGTTGTCTCTACTAGAAGAGTGGCTGTCCTCAGCTAACGAGCCGCATCTGCCCGAGTATATAGGAACTGTTAGTGTCTATGGGAGATCTAACAGTTTCCATCATTACATGGAGACACCCACTCACCCCGTCCTTACTGATACTACTTGGTGTGCAAAATCGGTAATTCCCTATGCATTTTTTTTCGCTTACCGAATTCTACCCAGGTTACTAGGTGGAAGCAACAGGAGTTACATCGATCTTCAGTTCCGCTTAGTTTAGAAACTAACCACATAAACACGAATATGCCCAAAGGTCTCATTACAACGGTTAGGACTGTGGGGGGCAGTTGGCAGGAAAATGATGAAAAAGAGGAGGAGAAAATTGAATTCGGCAAGTTTTAAAATCACTAACTGTTTAATATTTAGATCTAGATATCGTTGAGATCCTGATCTAGACAGATCTAGATCTAGGGTATCGTAGGGATCAAGATCAAGATATCGTTTCGATCTAGATATAAATTTCGTTTCGATCTAGATCTAGATTACGTTGGGATCTAGATTTTGATGGAGTATAAATCAACCCTAGCTTTTAAAAAATACAATTGCAATTATGTTAGGTAATTGTGTAGTTGTCACCTTGTACCGTTCGTGCACAACACACAAGGGCAGATAAAGTAGAGTTCATCTATTTCAATGAACTCGGTAAGCAAGGGGAGAGTGTGGTCAGTACTATGCCAAGCAACATTTGTTTTTCTAACGTCAGTCAGGTACCCATTAGAACTGGGTAGGCTCAGTGAGTCAGGTACCCATCAGAGCTGGGTAGGCTCAGTGAGTCAGGTACCCATCAGAGCTGGGTGGACACAGTAAGTCAGGTACCCATTAGAGCTGGGTGGGCTCAGTGAGTCAGGTACCCATTAGAGCTGGGTGGGCTCAGTGAGTCAGGTACCCATTAGAGCTGAGTGGACTCAGGGACTTCTTACAGGCTCCAGCCCAGGATTCGAACTCGAGACTTTCGGGTTAGCAGCCGTTATCTCTATCATTCGGCCACATGCAATATCATAACAAATGCATTTATTTTTGTTTATCCACAAATTATATTAGTTAGCGAGAGGGTAAAAATTACTTTTTAATGAGCCCTAATTAACATTTCTAAGTAGCCAGGATCGTCTCATGGGGGGGGGGGGGGGGTTAATTCTTTCCAACATTATATATAAGTGGTTTGCGTGCAGTTTCTTTCATGCAATTCTTTCATGCAGTGTTTCTTTCAGACTTTTTCCTCCCCGGAGGGGGTGAACTTTTTTCTAATCTAATAAGTGTTTAGCGTGCACAGTTTTTTTCATACATCTCTTCCGGTAGGGGCGAAGCCCCGCCCAGGTTCTTCCTTAAGTTTGTATGATCTAAAAATGCGACCAGTGTTTCTTTCAGACTTTTTCCTCACCGGCGAGGGGCGAGGGTAGAATTTTCTGGGAGGGGGCGGACACTGAAAAAAGTATATAATTATATTTCGTTGAATGAGACGGTAGACATGTTTTGGGGTGTGTGGGGGGGGGGGGAGCCCCCTCCTCCTAAGTAGAGTTACATGAAAGAAACTCTAAATGCACCTTTTGTCATGAATGAGATTAGGTGCAAGGTTCAGGGATATGCCTATGACTATATTTAGTATAAATTAAAGTACCGATTCTGGATAAAAATTTGTTTTCAATGTCATTTTTCGTTTCCAGTTAAATTGAATTTTGGTGGTGATTTTGGTTTTGGTTTTAGTTTAGAGAAACTAGACAGCACCATCAACCTAGCGCCCGTTGCATCCTTCCTCAACGGGACATTTTTCTCGTATATATATATATATATATATATATTTATATATATTTATATATATAAATATATATATATATATATATATATATATATATATATATATATATATATATATATAAATATATATATATATACATATATATATATATATATATATATTTATATACATATATATATATATATATATATATATATATTTACATATATATATATGTATGTATATATATATATATACATACATATATATATATATATATATATTTATATACATATATATATATATATATATATATTTACATACATATATATATATGTATGTATATATATATATATATATATATATATATATATATATATATATATATATATATATATATATATATATATATACAGAGAGGGGTCTATGGGGGGTTGTAACCCCCCACCCCTGAATACGTCACTGGATTAAGTGCTGTACTTTATTTAATATTTTCCTATTTTAATATATGGGATCTATCTTGCTCTGTTGTACTATCTTCAAGTAAAGAGAAACATGTAGTTTAATGAAGAAAATTCTAGCACCAATTTAGCCTATTAAAGCATTTTATTTTAATTATAAATTCTGAACCTTTTTGAGTTATCACCTTTAATTTCCTTTAATGCTTTTTTCCCCTCGGAAATATACTAGAAAAATTAAGATAGCTGACAAGTAAATGGAATTAGACGATTTCTTTTAAAAACTCATTACAAAATAAGAAATTTCCAATTTAATTTCTTATATCTAATTAATTAAGAACAGCAAGTGATTTGTTTAACTTATTATATTCCAAAACATTATTCAAGATAAGGTCTAATTATGTTTTGAAAGACATTGCACAATCCCTTTAGGATTTGGATTGATTAGGTACTGAAAGACATGGCTGTGTTGCACAATCATTTTCCTACTCCATTAAATTTTTACTTTAAAGGCATCTATAATAACAGAACTAAATTAGATTTGATATAAATGCATAATAATAACACTAGTAGTTAAATTACTTATCAACAGTACGAGAAGATTCATCTGACTCTTCATCTGGTGAGATGGAATTGGAAAAGGAGGACCTGGATACAGATAGGTAGTTAAGCTTTTGTTGAAAAGTGTATTACAATTAAACTAGCTAGATTAGATATTCGCAGTTCGGGTAAATATTTTATTTAGTACATTAATTCAAGTTGTAACAATCTGTTGTAAAATCTTATTAATACATCACAAAGGCTCTCTAAGATGTTTGTCTGTTGTATTTTGATGATGTAAGGAATGTACGCTTTATTCTTTGTTGAAATAAATTTTGTTTTGGTATTTAAAGACAACATGCAACTTATTTACAGTGATGATGAGCGCAAGTTCATACTTCGAAATTGGAAGGCACAGTTGGGAGTGTCAAATATTGAAAAGTTAGTAGTTTTTAAAAAGTCGTGTGTCGTTTACATGCTCATGTGCATCAAGGTTTGACTGTCTGTGGCAGAAAGATAAAATTTACTCTGTCTGATAAAAATATTTCTTATGCTGTGTCCCACATAAAACCAGTAGCGTAGCGATGGGGGGGGGACATATGTCCCCGGGCGCCGAGCTTAGGGGGCGCCAAAATGGGTTGGAAAAATAAATTGAAAGGTTGAGGGGGGTGCAAATTGAAAGTTAGAGGGGGGGGGTGCAAATCACAATCTCGAGGGGTGGGGGGTGCAAATCAAAAGTTTGAGGTGGGGTGCAAATCGAAAAGTTTGTCCCCGGGCGCCGCGAAGGGTCGCTAGGCCTCTGCATAAAACAGATTGCATGGTCACGTGATTAGACTGACGGCTATAATGTCTGTCTCTTCTTCTAGGTTAGTGCCGTACGCAAATGAGACTGACAGCTATGTTTGTCTCTACCATTTTAGTTTGTCTCTACCGTTTCAGGCTTGTCTCCTGTAGTAAACAAAAACTGTTTGATTGCCTGATGAAGACTCTCAAAAAACGAGAAGGGAAGGAGGCGGAGCTGGCCGCTGGTTGTCTGAGGTTGATGGCCGACCAGCTACGAGACAAGGGTTCGAGTCTGTTTAAAAAGATTTACCCTAAGCTCACCACCATGTTGACAGACAGCTCCACCCACTACAAGACTCGCGCGGCCTGTGCCACGACACTCGCTACCTGGTGCTACCTGTGTTCCAGTGACCTGCAGGTATTCCATGCCTCTTTATACACAGGTGTATTTGAACCCTTTTTTTGCTGAAGTACTGTTCTATTTAGAAAAATTAAAGTTCCCACGCAATACGCATGTTCCTGACAATTCTGCAAATGTTTCCTCGATCTATTTTCAGGCTTTGTTTTATTATATTCTTATGGACGATTTACTCACATAAAAAATATTTAACCCCCCCCGTCCCCATGAAAATGCAAAAGTTGTGTAAGTCTGCCTACTAATTTGGTCAAAATTTTAATCAATTTATAAAAAATTAATTAGGCAACCAATAAAGTCAAATTTAATGTCAGATTGCATTGTTTTCATGTCTTGACCCACATGCCAACTTTGAACCGTAATTGTTAGCTAGAAGTGCCCGAAATTTCGCTCGGGCGTTTCTATCTAGACTGACGACAGAGACATTGAGTAAAAAGAAAAGCTTGCAAAAATGATGGCTGTTCCCCTCTAGAACTATTTAAAACGGGTGTACATGATTGTGTATTTTGTCAATTTTTTTACATTTCTGTTACTGCAGTATAAATGCTACTAACTTAGATCTGTAGCTGTTTGCTTTAAAATACGACTGAATTTGTATATAATATTTAATATGTTGATCAACTTTTCTCACTTTACCAGAAAATGAAAAAAGTGAGTAAAATATTGGAAGACATGTTCAGTCGTGGCTATGGGCAGGGAGACAACTCCCTCACTTTAACACCAGAACAGATCTGGGTGATGTGCCACGTCTTGAAGGCTTGGTGTCTTCTGCTGACCAGTTGTACACAAGAGGAACTCCAGGCCCACATCAGCAAGTAGGTTCACTATGGTGTTCTAAACTATAGTTTGTATTGTAGTTAGAAGAACATTTTGTAATTCCACAAATGATCTTAAATACCCAATGCTGAAATTTAAAATGTATCGGGCTTTTTCAAATATTTGAAGCACGTGTGCATAATAAATTGTACGCAAATAATTATCTTCTAATCCATGAGGAAAATCCTGAAAAACAGCCTTGCCATACGAAAAAGAAAAGATAATGAGACACTTATTAAAACAGTGTTCATGCAACAAAGAGAATTGCAGATATGGATTATTCCCAGCAGATTTCAGTAATGAAGTGCAGAAAATGCTTGAAGTATTCGGAGAAGAAGGTGGAACAGTTCACACAAACTTCAGTAAAAAAATACAAATTGAAAAAGGTAGACGAAATTTTAAAGAATCAGCAAACTGTCTGAACAAAATCACAGGATGACTTTGGTAAACAGATTAAATCGGTATATTAACAGTGGGATTCTGACATAGAAGAAGACTTTGGTAAACAGATTAAATAGGTATATCAACAGTGGGATTCTGACATAGAAGAAGACTTTGGTAAACAGATTAAATAGGTATATCAACAGTGGGATTCTGACATAGAAGAAGACTTTGGTAAACAGATTAAATCGAAATACCAACAGTGGGATTCTGACATAGAAGAAGACTTTGGTAAACAGATTAAATCGAAATACCAACAGTGGGATTCTGACATAGAAGAAGACTTTGGTAAACAGATTAAATCGAAATACCAACAGTGGGATTCTGACATAGAAGAAGACTTTGGTAAACAGATTAAATCGAAATACCAACAGTGGGATTCTGACATAGAAGAAGACTTTGGTAAACAGATTAAATCGAAATACCAACAGTGGGATTCTGACATAGAAAATTTAAAGGAACAAAAAAATACTCTGTTCAAACAACAGCAAAAGCTTGTCCAAACAGCTCAGAATATTTCGAAGTTAAATACTTAAAACTATAAGAGAACAAAATGAACAATTCATCTAGGGACTTGAGGAACTTGAGAGACTAAGCTACAGACATTCCTTCAGTCTGAGCTCACAAAAGAGATGTAGACCTATCTGTTGCAACAACGTATATTAATGGACACACAAGAACAAGACATGGCTAATATAAGAAATCTCTTCACATTATTTTTTTAAACAAAACATTTTTATTTTAAATATACCAAAAATAGTGAACACGTTAATAATTTTTAATAATAATTTATTATAAATTCATATAATTTATTTTATAATGGAAGAAACAATGTTACTTCTCTTTCAAAAATCAACAAAGTAGGCTTATATAGGCCTATGGATAAGTTTCTGTGATGGATAAGTTTTTGTGATAGATAAGTTTCAGTGATTAATACGTTTCTGTGATGGATAAGTTTCTGTGAAGAACAATTAACTTCTCTGATGGATAAGTTTCTGTGATGGATAAGTTTCTGTGAAGAACAATTAACTTCTGTGATGGATAAGTTTCTGTGATGGATACGTTTCTGTGAAGAACAATTAATTTCTGTGATGGATAAGTTTCTGTGATGAATAAGTTTCTGTGATGGATAAGTTTCTGTGATGGATAAGTTTCTGTGATGAGTAAGGTTCTGTAATGGATAAGTTCCTGTGATGGATAAGTTTCTGTGATGAATAAGTTTCTGTGATGGATAAGTTTCTGTGATGGATAAGTTTCTGTGATGAATAAGGTTCTGTAATGGATAAGTTCCTGTGATGGATAAGTGTATATAATGGGTAAGTTTTGGTGATGAGCAATTTTCTAGGTTGCTAAAAACAATTAGCTTCTGTGATGGATAAGTTTCTATGATGGATAAGTTTCTGTGATGGATAAGTTTCTGTGATGGATAAGTTTATGTGATGGATAAGTTTCTGTGATGGATAAGTTTCTGTGATGGATAAGTTTATGTGATGGATAAGTTTCTGTGATGGATAAGTTTCTGTGATGGATAAGTTTATGTGATGGATAATTTTATGTGATGGATAAGTTTATGTGATGGATAAGTTTCTGTGATGGATAAGTTTCTGTGATGTATAAGTTTCTGTGATGGATAAGTTTCTGTGATGGATAAGTTTATGTGATGGATAAGTTTCTGTGATGGATAAGTTTATGTGATGGATAAGTTTCTGTGATGAATAAGTGTGTGTAATGGGTAAGTTTTATGATGAGCAATTTTCTGGGTTGCTAAAAATCAAGAGCTAGACATGAATCGGGGCAAGAAATATATTAAAGTGAAAGCCACAATATTAAAAATGTATATAACATAAAAAATATATTTAAAATATATATTACCAATATAATGGCCAGGGAACGGACGGAACGGCCTAGTGGTAGAGAGCTAGACTGCTAACCCAAAAGTCTGGAGTTCAAATCCAGGATCAAGTCAGTGGAACGTCCTCACTCTCCCTTCATATGCCGACGTATCTGCAACAGATGAACTCTACTTCATCTGCCGCATGTTTTCTTTGGCACGAACGGGAAAAGATGATGAAGCTAAAGAACGGCTATTGGCCAGACAAGTTTTCTGGTATCTAAGCTAAATAAGATTCATGGCCAGATAAGCTTCTGGACTAGCAATGTTGTTGGGTTTAAAAATGTCTCGGATCAGTTTTAGCTTGATGTGTTTTATAAAACGTGTGCCATGTTGTAAAATTTTGCTATTTGTACACTTGCTGTAACCATTCTCATTTGTTTTCTTTTATGTAGCCACATGGGTTCTCTGAAGGGGTTGCTGAGCAGTTCTGACGAAGAACTGCGCATCACAGCCGGGGAGACCATGGTCATGCTTGATGAGCTGGCTGGAGGTTCTGACAAGGTAGTGTTTTTTTCTGTCCAAATAGAGTGTTTAGGGGCTGTGGTGTACATATTTATTTTAAACTATTGCTTTACGTTTATTGGTGTTGTTGTAGGAATGGAAAGAGATGGGGGATAAAGAAAGTCTTCGTGAAATGTTAGATGGGCTGGCAACAGATTCTGTGAAGTATCGGGCCAAGAAAGGCAGAGGACATTGGAAAGCAAGTTTTAGAGATGTTCATCGCAGTATTGTAGTAAGTGAATACATGTATTCCCTTATTCTAAATGAGTTACTATACATACATACATACATGTATATATATATATATATATATATATATATATATATATATACATACATATACATACATACATATATATATATATATGTATATATATCCTTCAACTACTGGCCCTAGTATATAAAGGCGTGGCCTAAGCGGTAGAGCGAGTTCAAAATCCGAGTTCACGTCAGTAGAACGTCCCTGAGTCCACCCAGATCTGATGGGTACCTAACCTATGTTAGGGAAAGTAAAGTCGCTTGGGAAAGTGTTGAACTTCCCATCATATTATGGCGAGTCAAGAAATCTACTTCACCTGCCCAATTTAAAGAGTATTTTTTTTATTTTAATATATCTATCACTACTCTGTGATCCGGGTTTTTAACGATAAGTTTCCACAAATTGTAGGCAGGTTGTATGGAGACTGTTGTCGGCAAAGCCATGAAAAAACCTTGCGCCACTAAGGAAGTCGACCGCCAACTTGCCTCAACTGATGTAAAGACGTGTGAAACGGTCTCTGGGGAAAATATTTAGACGTTTGGCCTAACATTTATCTGGCCACTGGTAAAGTTTTGGAGATCTCCATCTTGATTATCTATCTTGATTCTCCATCTTAATTCTCGTCATCAAAAAAATAAACAAAAGTAATGATTATGCTTTCACCGAATGTTTTTTTGGTGCGTTTCTTCCGTCTATGTTTGTAGCCTGCTTGAATATGATGGTTTTTATGGGGATTTGATATTATTTTTATCATCGTCAATCTTTATTACAATATATATGTTTAGAAAAAATATATAACATTGAAACAGAATAGAATACATTATTTATTTTTGTCTATTTTTAGTTATGTTGGTTTGGTCAAAGATCGCTCCTGCATTGATCCAAAATAGAGTATACACAACCGATGTTTTATCGTTTAAAGCTAATTACATATGTGTGTGTATGTGTGTCATATTAAGGTAGTCATATGAACCTTTGGTTGTGTGGGAAAATTAAAATTCTTTTATTAATAATTCGTTACTTTTATTCTTAAGTTCTTTGTTTTGTAATTTCCACTACCGTATTATTTGTTTCGGCATTAACTAATTACTTTATTAGTATTATATTTCGATTTGATTTCGTTTCTGTATGTGTTATAATTAGATTTAAATTAAATTATCGAGTAAATAAGTATTATTGTAACTGTTATTAATACGCTAAGTGTCGGGGGGTGGGGGCATCGTAACATATGTGTAAGATTGGAGTTAATCTTAAGACATTGGATTTGTTTTTAATTACAATCAGTGCAAAGATTAAAAGAAAGTTGGGTATACATTTTAAAGTGTTGGTAATCCCCCAGTATAGCGTCGGTTATTAAAATGCCAGTAAAATAACGACGTAGTCTATCACGCCGTTCCGGAATCCACAGGGAGTACTGTAAAGCATACTTTATTTGGCGCCATCTTTTATTTTGAATACCGAACGTTCATGTTAAAAAATACTGTTTTACTAATCAATTTGTATTGTAACACGGCCTCAGTAGGGATGATGTTTCTGTGATGGATAAGTTTCTGTGATGGATAAGTTTCTGTGATGGATAAGTTTCTGTGATGGATAAGTTTATTTGATGGATAAGTTTCTGTGAGGGATAACTTTCTACGTTTGATAATTTTATGTGATACGTTTATGTGATGGATACATTTCTGTGATGGATAAGTTTATTTAATGGCTAAGTTTATTTGATGGATATGTTTCTGTGATGGATACGTTTATTTAATGGATAAGTTTATTTGATGGATACGTTTATTTAATGGATAAGTTTATTTGATGGATAAGTTTATTTGATGGATAAGTTTATTTAATGGATAAGTTTATTTGATGGATAAGTTTATTTGATGGATAAGTTTATTTGATGGATAAGTTTATTTGATGGATAAGTTTATTTGATGGATAAGTTTATTTAATGGATAAGTTTATTTGATGGATAGGTTTATTTGATGGATAAGTTTATTTGATGGATAAGTTTCTGTGATGGATAAGTTTATTTAATGGATAAGTTTATTTGATGGATAGGTTTATTTGATGGATAAGTTTATTTGATGGATAAGTTTCTGTGATGGATAAGTTTATTTGATGGATAAATTTCTGTGATGGATAAGTTTATTTATTGGATAAATTTCTGTGATGGATAAGTTTATTTAATGGATAAATTTCTGTGATGGATAAGTTTATTTAATGGATGTGTTTCTAAGCCAGGTACGGGACAACCAGCCTAGTGCCGGCGCCCGGTTATTTGGCGCCCAAGACAAAACTTATTAAAACGCCCCCTTTCGCACAAATTAACTAAAACATATGTTTAAGAAATCAATCAATTAAAAGTGACATATTTATTTATTATCAATTGCATACACGTTATAGAACTTGTAAGTTTATCGTTCTTTCTCGCGTTAATTCATGTCTGGTTAGCCAGGGAGAGATAAAAGTTTTCGAACTAAATCAATTGTTGTGAACGGGATTCCCATTGATAACAAAAAACATGGCGGCTATTTGTTAGTAGGTCCCGCTTCTAGATTTCAAAATCATCAAACGTTCCAGAAATGCAACAATTGTAAAAACTTTCAACGCTGTTTTGTTCATATGGATGGGAACAAACACATGTGTATGCATTTTTGAATATAAAAGTTTTGTGGCGGTAAGTATATTGATTTTATTTCTTTTGTTGATAGTTAGTTTGTCCATGGCTAGGGGACATTACTCTGGTCTGACTCTACTCAGTCTTTGCTACGAGACTCAAGATTCCCAGACCTAGATCTAGAATCTAGTCTAGATCTGGATTCTAGAATCTACCAACTAAGATCTACATTGCTTTAATGTAGTTCTAAGAGTATAAGTTCATGAATTAGAATATATTAGATCTAGATCTAGTATTTTAGTGATCTAGATCTAGATAAAATATTAAAAATATTAAGAAAAGGATGACGGTAAACAGGATGACTTTCACTTTCAGTCTCACTCAGCCTACAACTACAACTAATACTAGATAGATCTAGATCTAGAATCTAATACTTAATCGAATCTAGAGATCTAGATACTAGATCTAGATATCTAGAACTTTGACAACAATGTTAATGTTAATAGACCTAGATCTAGATCTAGATTCTAGATCTAGCTAGATTACTGAACTAGACTCTAGACTAGTGCTGATTACTCAGTGATTACTGTTTAATATTTTAGAAGTAGGCCTATAAAGCCTATAAGAAGTAGCTTTGACTTGTAGATAGATGGCTAGATACTAAGATAGAGATACTAGATCTAGATGCAGATGGTAGTATGGTAGGCCCTAGATCTAAAAATGTAGATCTAGAGAATCTAGTAGATCTAGATAGATTCTAGATCTAGATTAGATCTAGTTTAGGTAAAACCTACCGTTAAGTTTAGTAAGAGCTAGATCTAGGTAAGGCTAACCTGTTTTTAATTTTAAATCGATTTTTTTAGATCTAGAATCTAGATTTCTAGACTAGATCTACTCTAGCTATTTTACTATTTACTAGATCAGTAGCCAGTATAGTGAGTAGAGTAGTAGTAGAGTGTAGTGTAGAGTACTGTAAACTATTGTAGAGGGTAGGTACTAATAACTAGACTTAAACAAATTAGACTAGAATCTAGATACATTTAGGGCTTACAGACTTATCAGTCAGACTACAGTGTTGCAATTAGTAGATCTAGTAATATATAGATTAAATTTAGTTTGAAATTGTTACAGTAGTGTAGACTACTAGAAAAGCAAGATGATAGATCTCCATCAAGCTACAATAGAGTTTAGTTAGTAGTTAGTTAGCCGTAGTAATAGTACCAAAAGCAGTGTAAGTAGCACAGTAAAAAAAGTATTACTAGGCCATCTACTATTGTATTAGGCCCTTTTATTTTTAGCAAGTTAAAGTTTGGTTAAGTACTAGTCTTCTAGCAAGTTGCCTAGTAGTAAACTTAGAAACTAGATCATGTGTATTAGTACTATTAGACTTGTCGGCTAGTCTTGTTAGTCTAGACCAGGGACTATAAAATCTACAATTGATAACTTTTGGCCTTTTAGTATAGGCCTAATTATAAATGAATTACATGGTATAAAAATTAATAAATTGGTCAGAGTCAGTACGGTTACAGTTAGCTGTTAATAGAATTAAGTTTTAGATCTATTGACACCAATTTTTAGTTACAAGTAATGAAAATGAAACTAATAGTTTTGTAATAGTTAAGATATGGTTAACTGTAAACCAGATATTTTAGTTTTTAAGACAAGCTAAGTAGAATCTAGATAGAAAACCGAACCTTTACAATAAATTAAACCTTATATATATATATATATATATATATATATATATATATATATATATATATATATACATATACATATATATATAGGCTATATATATATATATATATATATATATATATATATTATCACATATTAGTTAAATAATTATTTTAATATAATATATGGATAAACTTAATACTTTATTATATTTAAATTCTCTAGGTACTTGGCAAGCAATTTTCTCACACTTTACTGTGGCTATTGGTGCTGATCTTGAACTAAAGGTGAGCTGAATTTTTTTTTATAATAAGCCATTTTTCAGCTTAAGCCCAAGTTTGAAACCTATTCAGTTTTCTAATTCTTAAAGAATATGTTGCTACTAAGATTATTTACTGTAAGTATTAATATGTATGGCTTGATAGTGGCACTGTCAGACAGTAGCTTTCACATTTCTATCCTAAAAGATAAGAGTTCAGATCCCTGGTTTTAGTCCTGGTATGATGTCCTAAGTCTCATGAGTACCAGCTCTCATGAGTACCTGGCTCAAGATAGGGAAATTAAAGGTGGCTGGGTATATACCTCTGAACACTAATTTTACATGCAAATGTCACAGAAACAGGTGAATTTTAATTCAACTGCTATATTGGCTGTCTGTTTTAATCAATGATTAATTTTTTCATATTACAGAAAGTTGTTAAAAATATTATTTATTTAATTTCTAGGTAAATGGAACAGCATGGATGTGGATTTTTAGACACAAGGAAGCTGAATTTAACTTTTAATGAAGAATTTAAATGATGATTGTCCATGAAAAGAAATATTAATCATATACATTGTAATGCTGTATTGATGCATCTTCTGTTTTAAGTAATTAAAAAACCATCCATTTATGAAATTCTTTTAATTTTTTTTTTCAATTTTAAAACTAGTTCTGTTTTGTTATTTGAAAACAAAGATGAAAGTATACTGAACTGCCATTGAGATATTAATATAAATGCTATTGTTTATAGTTTAATTCTTTCAGAAGCAACTATATTGACATCAAAACTGAATCTTTATTGTACACTAAGTATAAAAGCTTACCCGCAAACCAGTCCATGTCAACAATTTATTGACATCCAAACATTAAATTTTTTTAAAGGTGATTTTTCTTAAATAAAACAGACTACTTTCATATGGGATAAGAAACATTTAATTTTGAAATTGATTGGTTTATTAAATTTTAATGTAGCTGAAACTAAAACACTGGGTACAAATTTATTATTACTTTGTTTCTCAGAAAATTGCTAATTTTGAACATAAGAACTGTGGGAAGTAGGCAATGATGTTAAAATATCTCTTGAAACTTGAAGAAATTGTGGAAGGTTTAGAGATAGAAAACAACATTTCAGAAGATGATGTTTGAAATAATGGTAAAATATCTTTAGCAATTGTC